TGAGTAATAATTCACTTTAAAAATATATTTAATAAAATTGAAGAAATATTTTATCCAACGTGAAATAACTTCGAAACAAATAACGAATAAATGTTATTGAGACAATCGTTGCTCAAATTGAATAACTTATTCTTTACAACTAAAAAATTAAAAATTTTTAAATTGAGGAAATAACTTTAAATACATTTTTTTCAAACCAATTAATTATTTTACTCAATAATAATACACTATTTTGTAAAAATTGTTTTACTCAAATTGAAGAAGTGTTTGTCTCAAAACATCAAATTCTGTTGATATCGTTTATTCAAATCTAAGAAAATATTTTCTGAATTAGAATTTTTGGATATTGTAAAAATGAGTAAAATATTTATTTAAGATTAATTGTTTCAAAACAACTATATAATACATTAAATAATAATAACCTATTTATAACCTAATAATAAAAACTGTATAATCCATTTAATAATAATGACCTAGGTAAAACTAAAACTATATAATCCATTTAATAATAATGACCTAGGTCATTATTATTAAATGGATTATATAGTTGTTTTGAAACAATTAATCTTAAATAAATATTTTACTCTTTTTTACAATATCCAAAAATTGTAATTCAGAAAATATTTTCTTTAATTTAAATAAACAATATCAACAGAATTTGATATTTTCAGACAAATATTTTTTCAATTTAAGTAAAACAATTTTTACAAAATAGTGTATTATTATTGAGTAAAATAATTAATTGGTTTGAAAAAATATTCATTTAAAGTTATTTCCTCAATTTGAAAATATTATATTTTTCAGTTGTAAAGAATACGTTATTCAATTTGAGCAATGGTTGTCTCAATAACATTTATTCGTTATTTATTTCAAAATAATTTCACGTTGGATAAAATATTTTTTTAATTTTATTAAATATATTTTTAAAGTGAATTATTGCTTATTAAAATTTAAAAAATAAGATGTTATTGTAACTAAAACATTTGAATAAATATATTTATTTAGATTGAATACATTTTTTTTTTACTTTATTTCATTGTTATCTACGTCTAAACAAATATTAACTAGAAAGAATTGCTTCAAATATAATTTGAAACTTTTATATATAAAATAATACATAGAAGAAATCTATAATTTCTTTGTAATTTTTGGCCGAAAATGAAATGCACGCATATTTTTGGTTTTCGATTACTTACAATTGCTATAAATACCTCAAATCATATAGTAACAAGTTGGGACATTCACTCTTTATCCTTGTTTACATGTATGTACTAATAATAATTATTATAATAGTAATGATAATAAATCTTTATTATCATTGAACAGTTCGCGGGCAACATACATTCAATACTCGAATAATTTCTATTTAAAACTGCTCCTTAGATCGAGCGTCGTTAAAGATCTTCAAAAGGAACGAAGGTAAAACGAAAAAATAAAACCAATACATGTTATCCAGAATCACAGGTAGCTCACTGAATGCTCACGAATAGCTCCTCAGTATAGGATATTTAACACAATCACTTACTGAATGCTTATATCCATTTCTAACATAGTTCATTAGACTTTAATTTGATAAAGACTTAAATCCAAAATAAAGTTTAATCAATGTTGGTAGAAACGTATCAGTGAATACTCAGTTACTGTAGGTGAATTTATTGGATGCAAACATTCACTGTGAGCGGTTGAAAAGCGTTTGCACCCAGAAAAGTAACCTAGGATACTATTTGAGCGCTCACTGACACCCGTTTCTACCAATGTTGATTAAGCTGTATTCTGAATTTTACTCTTTATTTAATCAAAACTCGAACTAAGTTTTAATCGATCATTAGAAATGGGTATGAGCACTTACTAGTAAGAGATTGTGCAAAATACCCTATATTGAATGGCTACCCATGTGCGCTTACTAAGCTACTCGTGGTTTTGGATGCACGTAATATAATATCTATTTTAGTCTATTTTAATCCAATAATAAAATTGTTTTGAATAACTAATGTCAATTTATATATTATTGTTATATATCCAAAAATATGTTATGAAGTATACACAATATTTATTGAAAGCAATCCTATCTTTATATCTAGCGGAATAAATTTTTATTTGAAAGGAAATCATGCTTTCTCAATTTTGACAATTTGATGCTTCACTGTAAGTAACGCTTTAGTCCACTTGAAATAAATGAATAAGGTTTTCAGGAATCTATTAATTCAAATTCAGTAAATATTTTTTTATTTTTACAAGTGTGTGCTATATTTTAACTTCTGGTTTTTCTACATTAATATTTCTTTAAATTTAGTAAATAGTTTCTTCATTTGAGCAAGACAATATTTGCAACCATTAAATAAAATTTTCAAATGAATAATTATTTTTACATTTCACTAAATATATTTTCAATCTAATCAATTATTCATTATTTTTCAGTAAAAAATTTTCCATCCTGATTAATATATTTTTTTAATTCAAATAAATACGTCATTGGTACCGTTTTAGAAAATTATTTATTCAAAATAAATTATTTTTTTCAAATTGACTAAATATTTTTCTCGGCGTACTTCATGTAAGGTTCAAAATGTCTATTATTTTACATTGAATATTCAGTGATCAATTTTTTTCAAGAAATAATCATAATAATAAATATTATAAAGTTCTTTAATTTCATAAATTTAGGTTTTATTTCTTTATATTTCATGTATTTAGGTATGTTATATAAACTTATATAATAGAATATTAGGGTAATTATCTTTAAAAAAATTTAAAGAATTAAAGGCCGTAAATTTTTACGTTCTGGTTTATAATAGTTTGCTGCATGCTGAAAATCATAGATATATTAAAGTATAATATATATATATATATATATATATATATATATATATATATATATATCTTTATACCACTTTAATATATCTATGATTTTCGGCATGCAGCAAACCATTATAAACTAGAACGTAAAAATTGACGACCTTTAATTCTTTAAAAATTTTTTTCCTCGATTATCGTACGTGGCGAATCAATCTTTCATACTTAGATCGATCTTTGAATCCCAAACTTATATATTTATATTCCCAAAAATCCCCGCATTAAACCGATGACTCGAATAGATTCATTTTATATGTTGCGAAAAACTGCCTCCGCCAGAACTTAAACCTGGAACCTCTCCACTTTTCGGGAGGGACGCCTTTCCATTCGACCATCGAGGCTTCGACAGTCCTCTCGCGCGCAACACAATGTTTATAAATTCTCTAAGGTATAAGTCGAGAGAGAGAAAGAAAAAAAGAAAGAGTCGATCTCGTAAGAGATGTTATTATACAAGAGAGATAGCATATTCTGCCGGCAATGCTTTAAGATAAACCGAAATTATAGAAACTATCATATTTATATTATTAAAACAGTATTAATATTTAATGGCACTAAGACATTCGTGCTTGGCTCCTTATAGACCTTTCAAATATTTCTGTTAGTTTATAATATTTATTATTATAATGATTATTTCTTGACAAAAAATCGACCACTGAATATTCAATGTAAAATAATAGACATTTTGAACCTTACATGAAGTACACTGAGAAAAATATTAGTCAATTTGAAAAAAATAATTTATTTTGAATAAATGATTTTCTAAAACGTACCAAAGACGTATTTATTTGAATTAAAAAGATATATTAATCACATATATATATATATATATATATATATATATATATATATAATAAATATTTTAAATATATAAATAAATAAATATATATATATGCTCATAAATTATTCAAGTTGTTTATTCAAAACTGTCAAATATCTGATCTCATTTTTTGAGAAATAATTATAATCAGTACGCTTTCACGTTAAATTTTCATACATACATTTGGTACATTATTGCAATATGATATTGCTATTACAAAAATGTAACTATTTTGCTACGTTACCCCAATATTTTAGTAATATTAACATTGCTACTCTATAATATTGGACATTAATATAACATTACATTGACATTCAATAAAATATAACTTATATAAAAAATATAAAATATTCTGGCAACATTCTAACAATAACGTTGACTTTTGTGCTATGTAGGATTGTTTTCACGCAGTCGCGTTGAACTTTGCCGTTGCAGAGATAAGATAATGTACCAATGCCCGAATATGTACTCATCTCCGGACATTGTTATTATTTTTATATTTAAATATAAATATTTCAACTTTCAACGTATAATACATACATATTGGTATACATACATTTAATATTTATATTTAGTGTACGTTGAAAGATGAAATATTTAGAGAAATATTCAAAATAATAAGAATGTCCGGAATTAGATACATGTCCGGGCATTGATATATTTACCTTATAACTCCGCGGAAAGTCCTGCCATAGCTAAGAGGTTAATAATTTTTCACTGAATTTTTCTAAATTTGTACTGAAATATTGCTGAAGTATTAATGAAATTATAATGAAATTTTAATGAAATTGTATCAAAATTGTGAATGCTTCTCAAAAACATTTCAGCAAAAGTTTATTACATTTTCAATAAATTATTTCCATCAGATATAAGTATCTCGATTGAGATCTCAACTGAAATCTTATATGCGAAATTTTACGGAAATCTCATATGAGTTCTCAATTACGATTTCACATGAGATTTCAATTGAGTTCTCAATTGAGATCTCAACTGGATTTTTTCAGTAGGAATGTCGTTACATTATAAGCGTTATATTTGCGATCGCTAATTTAAAAAATTACCATATTATTGCGAATATCTCAAAACGGTATAGGATTTTCATGTTCACCTCAATCCGTCCCCACAAAATATGTGGAGGGGAGTCTGAGACATCCTGTATAGCATGTGTATAACACGTGTTCCTTGAATATATGACACGTTGTCTCCTTGAATATATATACGGTGTCGAAAAATTACACTCTGTTTATGAAAATTCTTTTGTTAATAATTTTGTAATAAACATTGAGCAACGGCTAAAACTTCTTGAATATTAGAAGAAGGGTGCTCTTGATAATATATGTAACAAACAAGACCATCAAACGTAGGTCTAAATAGCATATTTACCGATATTTACACTAGAGTATTGCTACAATTTTACTGTATTGTAGACGACTTTCACAACACACATATTCCATATAGCTCAGGTAACAATTCGCATAATAACCTTTATATTCGCATAATAACTTACCTTTATTTATGAAAGCACTTATGATACAATTGGCCAGAAACACCCGAGCTTTATTCCAAAATTGCCAGTCTTCTGAGATATGGGACGGTACGGCTCATTTAGTCCCTTTAGAATGTAGAATAGTAAAGAAAAGTGCAGATTAATGTAACGCGCGCTATTTTGAGGCTTTTGACACGTATATTTTAGAAGGCCAGAATCCGACGAATGTCTTTAACTGCAGTGATCACTGTCGATCTCTACATAAAAAACAGTATTGATTGTATAGATAAATCACGTGAAACGGTCGATCACAATGCGTCAAACTCACGCGCGGATAATATACGAATAATATTCAGATAATATACATAGAGCGATAACACTTATTTTCACGCACTAACAGACACTACGACTATGACTGCATGCAGAAAGAACCCTGAAAGCGGTCATGCTGGCCATTTGGCCGATTTATATAATTGCTTGATACGCCACCTATCTTTAAGTTGGAACTTATTCGCTACACTCATTTCCAAGCGCTGCCGGTAAAATCTCCATTTGGTACGTGTATAGATCACTGAAATACAGGGTGCGTTTCGAGTCACGCATGAAGCGCGTAGACTGCATGGAAAGTCGTTCCGATTTAATCAGTGCGCATTGAAAGCGCTTTGATAGCGCTGAAAATTCCCTAGGTTGTACTAACCGTTCTGAATTCTTGGCACTCTTCCTAGCGCATGGACTTCACTTTCGAGGCAATCTGTGCGTTCCATGCGTTTGTTGCATGATTCGGAACGCGCAATTCCTGCTCGTCTTTCTTTTCTGCTCAGACACAATGAATCAATTCAATATTCGAATTTCCCGTTTTAATTGAAGACAAAAATAAAGCAATTACTTTATTTTTGCACAAAGGAGATGGAGAGAGCAACAAAATTATGTATTTACGTAGATATTATTACGATTAACTTTATTAATTGTAGGTTAGACGCTATTAACAATTATGCTTTTTTACAAACAAAGCTTTTTTGACACAACTTATTGCGAACAACACGATAACAAATTAATGAGGCATCAAAAGCACCAGAAGATACAGACGAAAATGCTGTTGACAATAACAATGCAAGTAAATACGAACAATTTATTTTTGTGTACCCTTATAGAAATATCATACTAAGAATCATTGATAATTACTTATTATCCAGTATTATTTTTAATACTGAAAATAAGTAATTATCAATGATTCTTAGTATGATATTTCTATAAGGGTAATCAATATCTGCAATTAACTTTTTAATTTCGTTTAAAAGAATGTATACTCAAGATTAAGAATAATGTAAAAGTTTATTGAAATAATAAGTTAAATGAGCTAGAGAGCCATTTTTCCACGTGCTTTATTTCCTATTAGTATGCAATACAGTGTTTGCATATCCCTTAAGAAAATATCTTCATCTTCATGTTCACTATCGCTCGATTGCGAGTTATCACTTTCTACATTTTTGTTTAATATCACTGAGATAATCGTTGATACTATTAATCGTTTCTTAACGTTTTGTTCGCCGTCCATTTTCAGCTCACTGCTGTCCACTCAACGCACACGTCGCATAGAAAACCGTTCCGAATTCTGCCAAATGCTTCATGCGTCTTATGTACGCATTTATGAAACGGAACGATTTCGAAGCGTTGCGCATGAGTACTCGTATTGCAGTCTACGCGCTTCATGCATGACTCGGAACGCACCCAGTGGTACAAGTGCATGCACATGTCGTCCCTTTTCCAAATATTGATACAGAAGTTCTATACATACAACAATATATATAATAATAATCTACTTTTTTTATCATTTAAATAAACATATCGCAAATAATAACAATCTCGTCAAAATGTTATGAATAAAATATACCAGGCAGCAACGTGACGTGATTATCATGTCAGTTTTTGGTTATTCGTGACATCAGTTATCTTTTTATAATCACGTAATAATGATGTGAAAATGACCGGAATAAGTCACAGCCCACTGACGTCAATAATAAAACGTGAAAATGACGTTATAAAGAGACGTAAAAATAACGTGTCGGAATATCCTTATTCGGTTTTATTTTTTAACAGAAACTATTTGTAAAATGTCACAGAGTATACTGATTTTACTTGAAATTTTTAATTACTTGATTCCAATGTTACATCACATTTAAAAATTTATAGTAGCACTGGGACTCAAACTTGGACCATGAGGCATTTCTGGATTATGAGTCTGTCGCTTAGACACTACACCATTTGATCGATATAAACGTCTTACATTTTATCTATATGTGGTATACTTCACACAGTGTATTATAATTTTTTGATAATATGATTTAATAAAATGATTTAATTTTAATAAAAATTATATTTCTCGTACTTTTATTGTTAATTTAACTGCTAGCTCTCTCTAATGAAGTAAGGTCTATAAAATCCCGCATATTCCATTTCGTTATCTTTAAATTTTTATAGTAAATATTTTTTTATTGTTAACTGTTATTAAATAGACAAAGTCATAAAAGACTATAAACTTTGAGTAATAGTAAAAAAGTATAACTTAAAAAAGAAAAAATTCACTTTACCATTTAAGATTTAATTAAATTAATTAAATTTATGTATATATATAAAAATATACAAATTAACACAGATAGCCAACTATCTGTGAGAATTCTCTATAATCTTCAATTCATCTCTGTGCTATCTGGGTCAACATTTTCTCATTAACATATCTTTGAACATCATCCTATTAACTGGATAATTGCAACGATGTAATGCTCGTGAGTAAGAAATGGTAGGACAATTTTTTATTAAAAAAACATTTATTTTAATGTTAAAAATAATGTTTTTTTAACGATATAAAAACGTTTAAAAAACATTTTCTTCAAATGTTAAAAAAATATTTTTATAACGTTAAAAAAACATTTCAAACATTAAAATAAACGTTTTTGTAGTGAAAAAGGGGACTTATTTATTCTTATTGTTTCATAAAAGAAACTATTCCTAATTTTCTCACGTCTTATAAACTGCTAGAAACCGAAGGTTGTCAAACACACTCTAAAAAACTTTCGCAAATCTTCCCTCGATAATTTCGAATCCGAAGAGGTAGCCGGCAGGCACCCCATCCATCCATCCTGACTGGCGTTGCTTAACGTGACGATCGAGCGGCACGCGGTGATTCCAATGACTCCAACGATGTTCTTACGATTTTTGCTTATAAAATGTATATTTATATTGCTCACAATATATTATAACATACCTAGCAAATACGCGCGTTGATTCACCTATTTTATTTAATATCTCTAAAGTTTAAAATAACATTATTTAAAAAAATTAAATGTTTAACTAAATTAACTTGGAAAAACACTTAAAAAATGTTAAAAATAATGGAATAATTCCTCTTTTTTTATTAGAAAATATTTATTTTACATTTATTATTCGTTTGACATAATGATTTTCATAAATATTTTTCAAACATTTTTTAAACATTTTTAAATTATTTATTTTACATTTATTATTCGTTTGACATAATGATTTTCATAAATATTTTTCAAACATTTTTTAAACATTTTTAAATTATTTATTTTACATTTATTATTCGTTTGACATAATGATTTTCATAAATATTTTTCAAACATTTTTTAAACATTTTTAAATTATTTATTTTACATTAATTATTCCTAGAAAATAATAATTTCAGTTAACATTTTTTAAACGTTTCTATATAATAAATATTTTAAAAATGTTTTAGCCCTGATAATGCAAACTGCAACGTTTGCGAAACGTCGGCATATCGCTGATTCAAGACACGGCTCCATTCCGGAAGCTATATCTAGACATTGTATTAATGGCCGTGAAAGCCTCAAATCTAGTATTTTGAAATGTTATATAAATAATTGTTATATAAATATTTATAATTGAGAAAATGAGTAATAAATGAAAAAAAAATATTTTAAAAACGTTTAAAAAATATTTGCTTCCGATTGGGCCTGGATATAGAGATATATTATGAAAAACAATTCAAATTGATAGCATTGTTACAGAAATTACTGATCTATATGAATATCCAACTAATAGTAAAAAATATTGTGAGTTATTTCTCACTTCTGACATTATTATTCATGATAGTGGCGAGAAACCAAAATCCTTAATTCCGTCTTTGCTAACACAGGGCTAAAAGATATAGGAACGGTCGGTTATCGCATCCCACAACCGAAAATCGGTATGGATTCGATGATAGCAGTCGAGATCAAGCAATCATTAGAGTAAAAATTTGATGTTTACCTTACTGCATAGGAAATTCGGAATCTCACTGTCGAAGAACTCCGCAAAATGCCTGAAACAGATAAACGATAAGGAGTCTAACCGAAACGAGCATATTGTCGGTACGGAGGGAATAAAATTTTTAGAATTCTTCATTCTTATTAAAATATGCTGGAAAACAAATATACGTATTTCTCTAATTTAAATAGTTTTTTTAATTTAAGTGATACGGTTTCTAGAATAGACAAACCTAGATTATCATGTATGTAATTATATTTTGCTATTATATTTGTACGTACAGGTAATAATGTGACAGCCGACTGCAGATCGGCAAATAGGGATATTATTTGCACCATGCTGCAAACATGTCACGGGTGCTTTGATTTTTGGAGCTAATGAATTAAATATGCTTCGATTCCAGGTATAAGAAATACCCTTTCTCTGCCTGTCTTCTGTTTTGTGGGCAGCTTCAACCAAATATCCGGAACAATATTTAAATTACTTAATAGCCGAATTAGCAATTTTATTCCCTCCGTACCGACAATATGCTCGTTTCGGTTAGATTCCTTATCGTTTATCTGTGTCAGTCATTTCGCGGAGTTCTTCGACAGTGAGATTCCGAATTTCCTATGCAGTAAGGTAAACATCAAATTTTTACTCTAATGATTGCTTGATCTCGACTGCTATCATCGAATCCATATCGATTTTCGGTTGTGGGATGCGATAACCGACCATTCCTATATCTTTCAGCCCTGTGTTAGCAAAGACGGAATTAAGGATTTTGGTTTCTCGCCACTGTCATGAATAATAATGTCAGAAGTGAGAAATAACTCACAATATTTTTGTAAAATATATTCAAAGAAAAAGATATGTCCATGAAATAAAATATGCGATTCCATGAAATGAAATAAAATATCGATTGCGTAAATTTGTAAAATACTATCGACACTTTTCTATTGTACTAATTGAGAATCCAAGGATTCTCTAAGAAATACTGAATTATAAAATTAATGTCAAATGCAGCTTATCTATTTACTATATAAAATTGTCATTTTAATTGTACATCCATTTTCTGATTACTGACGGAAATGGGGCGTCTTCAGCTTATCTTTCAAATTTGTTCAGTTGATTATAAAAGATATGTATACGGATATATTTTTTATTATAACGCATCTTGTAACCGTTCTGAACGCGCATTTTCTCGATTCTGATGTCATCTAACAAGTTAACCACGTCGATGGTAAACATATCTTACGTAGATACTACAGTAATTAAGAACATAAGCAGAAAACATAAAAGTCACGTCACACGCAATAAATATTTTCTATCCATGAAGAAACAATTAGTCATGATGTCGTTTGCAACGGCCTCCAAAATGTTCATCGCTCCGCTTAGACCCGCTTCCTTCTCTGCCACAACCACGATAGGTCGACTTTACACCAAGAAAGCATCTAGCGACTGCAGACAGGACAATATTCTTTGCTGTAATGTACCTCCAATAACTAATTCCTTATTGTCCTCCAACATGTCAGCAACGAGACCAACATCACCCACCGCGCCCCATTATATAGCCATCCCAGGGAATCCATCCTGCACTCTCTTCTCGCAAATTCTCTCCATGATAGAATTGGCCATACCATAATTAGTTTGTCCGGCATTTCCCCGGCCGCATGAAACAGACGAGAAAACTACGAAGTGTCGAAGATCGGGGCACATTCTTCTGGATAGTTCGTCAAGCGTCTTTGTGACCCTCGCTTTCGGCTAAATCAATATATGCTACTAGGAATTATGTGCTCCAACTATAGATATAGAAAAAAATAAATTGACATAAGACACTGACATAAGACATAATTGATTTAAAAAAATTTTTTTCTTATTCAACATATCTGAACATTATAATATCACACAATATATTTATCACACAATTACTTATGTAATAAATACTTACACATGTACGTACATGGTTAACTATATTGATCCCATTTCTTTTTTTTAATTAAATTAATTTAAAACATCTGCATTTTGTTTAAGTTAATATATATTTTTCGTTTTGTAGTTTTTGCTTTGATAATTTTTGTTTGGGTCTTTTTTGTTTAGTACTTTTTATTTTGGTATTTTTTGTATGGTTGATATTTATCACACAATACATACTTACACAATACACTTGCGTAATAAATACATACATGTATGTACTTGGTTAATTATATTGATCTCACTTGTTTTTTGAATATTTAAAATCTGTACTTTGTTTAAGTTAATATGTACTTTTTGTTTTGTAATTTTTGTTTTGATAATTTTTGTAATGGTTTTTCTTGTTTGATACTTTTTGTTTTGGTATTTTTTATTTGGTACTTTTTCTTTTAGTATCATTATAATCTGTAGCCAATATAATCTATAGTTGCAGTCAATTATATGCTAGATATATAGATATATAGATTATAGGTTAGATGCTATGGTTAGATGCTACGATTAGGTTCATTCATAACATGTACACTTTCAAAATTTTAAAACTAAATATCTCCGAAACTATATGCGATCCCCATATAGTTGTATAGGAAAAAGTTACTCAGAATTTCATTCTCTATAACATATTTCAAAAAGAAAACAATCAGAGGTGTGTATCCTTTTATGTTAAGTTTTATCTTATAGAGTTTTGTTTAAAAGATAAATATGCGTTATCATTACTCCATCGATCGTTCTCCGAACCAAGATCGACCTTATTCAAAAGTTAAACTTTTGATCCTTGAGAAACGACAATTTATTAGAGAAACTTTCCCTTCCATACTCGATGATCATATCGGCAATTCTCGTGATATAAACTTCGAACAAATGATCGCCCAGCAAACACATGGTCGGGATATAGATATCGTGCTAAATTCTTTAGCTGAGGAGAAACTTCAAACGTCTGTTCGCTGTTTGGCGAGAGGTGGTCGATTCCCAGAAATAAGAAAACAGTTTAGTTAAACTTTTCGACTTTCTTGCAACATTTTTATATTATCACAGTTGGGAAATTCCCCGGCGATACCAGAGATCACAATTTCCTCGCCCGGTGGAACTTTCACGTATGGATTAAACCGTTTACTGCTCTCCATATTTTTGGTTCACTATTAAATCGAGTTCTACTCGAAAAAGTAACGTTTTCAACTGTTTTCGACGTAACGAATACAATGATCAAAATAATTCTTGAATAAATCTGCAAGCTTGTTTTACAATAGAGTTTTTGAATGCGAGAAGTTTATCTAATAAAATAAAATTTTGTAATGACCTCAATTCTTCACTATTCAATTCTAATATATCATTATATATTAAAATCAGTAAATACATACTTACATACTTGATCCTGTTGAACGTAACAAACTTTTTGTTAGACATTTATATGATAATATCTTCAACGCAACTGCCACAATATAGGTCGTACTAGCTTTTTATTTACAAATATTCTCACGTTCTGAATATACAATGTATTCGTACTTTCTTTGTGTCTCTTTCTTTCTTATTCTTTTGTTGTTTGCAATCTGACATCGGAAAACCAATCTGTTGTAAGCAATAAAGGTCAAATATTATAATTCTGCCACGTGTCACATAGCTATTGAAATTTGCATTTTGCGTCGCGCATTTTAAGACTTCTGACCTGTCGCATTGTCTATCTCTTTTGACGTCAGAAGCGAGAAAATAGATACTAAAAATTCTTGCAAAATACAGAGTGACCAATGAGAATGTGTTGAAAGTAAACGGTTATTACTTCGTAAATAGGCTGAATGGAATGAATAAGACGCCATTTTGTAGAGGAAACTTGTTAATTTTATTATCATATATATGAAAAAGGAATATAATAATTTAATAATTGAAATATATATTGTAAAAAAAAGGAAAGAACCTTTATGTTAAGAATTCTAAAAATTTCATATTAGTTGGATATTTACATGGATCAGTAATTACTTTCGAGTTGGAAAGTCTATAGCTGCATCCACTAAACGAATAAATAATTAATAATTAGCCGAAGAGAGTATTATATACAGTGCGCTTCCCAACTCGCTAAGCTCTTTGGACGCTTTAGTATTAAAAGTAGATATCTTAGGCCCGATTGCACCAACGTTATTTTGGCTTTAAGTGAGACTTAAATCTGTAAGTTTGTTGCACCAATGTATAAGTGACACTTATAGTGCTTTAAGTTGCACTTATATTAAGCGATGATTCCAATACCGCTTAAGATACTTTAAAGGATAGAAATTGTTGTTGTAGCACACCATTGATCGTATTATCACTATTCTTATGTACATCGAAATTGGTGCGTGAAGCAGTTAGCTTTAAAGTTTAATATTATAAGAAAGAAAGCAAGAATTACTCGCGAGTAATTACAGGTAATTATATCTAAACAACAAAAATGGATATAAATTACGATGTGTTAGAAGACGAAGAACGCATACCATTTAATTATTTATGGAATACTGCGAAATGTACATGTGCGTTATAATTATTTTAAAGAATATGAAGAGTTAAATTTTTTTAGACGATTTCGATTAAAAAAGAATCTGTTATAAATATTACCTTTTAAGAAAAAGATAAAAAAAATCGTCGAATTTTTGCGCTCCGTACTTACGTAAAAAAACTGTTGTAAAAATAACCATACAAAAAACTGTAGTTAAAAATAATCCATACAAAAAAAATATAATAAAAATAATAGTAAAAAATAATTCGTACAAAAAATTGTAAAAAATAACGTACACAAGAGTTGTAGTAAAAAAATAATTTTTACTACAAAATTAATGATATCAGAAAATTTCCGCCAAGTGATTATGACCGTACAAAAAACTGTAATAAAAATAATAGTAAAAAATAATTCATATAAGAAAACTGCAGTAAAAAATAACGTACACAAGAGTTGCAGTAAAAAAATAATTTTTACTATAAAATAATGATATCAGAAAATTTGCGTCAAGTGATTATGACATCGTACAAAAAAAACTACAGTGAAAAATAACGCAAGAGTTGCAGTAAAAAAATAATTTTACTACAAAATTAATGATGTCAGAACATTTGCGCCAAGTGATTATAATCACTATTACTTATTATAACGGCGTTACTTCCTAAATCTGTATCGTATTACAATGCTATATTTGTACTTGAAATGACCAAGTACACAAATTATAAAAAAAAAAAAAATAAGTTCAAATTCACAAAAAAAAACTTCGCGCGCCCGGGTGACATCAAGATGCATCAGAGAATTTTAAGACATATTTTATTCCACGGTACGATTATAGAATACTTGTAGATAACATTGGAATTGTTATTGCAACCCGGGCGCATCAAGTTTTTTTTGTCAATCTGAATTATTTTTCTTTTTTATAATTCGTGTGCTTGGTCATTTTAAATACAAATGTGAGATTGTTAAAATGGCGTTTTATTCATTCTATTTAGCCTATTTGCGAAGTAATAACCGTTTACTTTCAATACATTCCCATTGGTCACTCTGTATTTTGCAAGAATTTTTAGTATCTATTTTCTCGCTTCTGACGTCAAAAGAGATAGACAATGCGACAGGTCAGAAGTCTTAAAATGCGCGACACAAAATGCAAATTTCAATATCTATGTGACACGTGGCAAAATTATAATCTTTGACCTTTATTGCTTACAATAGATTGGTTTTCCGATGTCAGATTGCAAACAACAAAAGAATAAGAAAGAAAGAGATACAAAGAAAGTACGAATACATTGTATATTCAGAACGTGAAAATATTTGTAAATAAAAAGCTAGTACGACCTACATTGTGGCGTTGAAGATTATTTTTTACAACAATTTTTTTGTATGAATTATTTTTTACTATTATTTTTATTACATTTTTTTGTACGGATTATTTTTAACTACAGTTTTTTGTATGGTTATTTTTACAATAGTTTTTTTACGCAAGTACGAATTTTTATTATAGTTTTTTATACGGGTTATTTTTAACTACAGTTTTTTGTATGGCTATTTTTACAACAGTTTTTTTACGTAAATACGGAGCGCAAAAACTCGGCGCTTGTTTTACTTTTTTTTAAAAGATAAGTTTTTTTGGGATATCATCCATTTTTGTACAAGGACTACATTGGATATTATAATCTTGCACTACATTAATTAAATAATTTTTTTTTTTTATTTTAATACGATATATATATAATAACTAAAGGAAATAGAGTTTTAATTTATAGTTTATTATCCAGTTAAATGTAAAAATGATATTAAGGAAATAAAAAGATTCAATTTGTTAATAAACTATACTAATAAACTATGATATATACAGGGTGTCCCGCGCAAGACGTACGAAAAGAAAAATAGAAGTAGAACACATAAAAGTGAACAAAAATTGTACGAATTTCGCAAAACGATATAGGACTTTTATGTTCACATCAACCCATTCTATGTCCCCACTAAATGCCCGGAAGAGAGTATCTCACACTCTATATACCAGTTATATAAAAAGTCATAACTTTAAAACAAATAAGAGGTCCTGTTGACCTCTACCTTGATTTGTTGTAAAGAGAAAACTTAAGTACTGCTAGCTTAAGTCTACATGTAAAAAATATGTTTAAATTTAATATTTTTAATAAAATATAATTATTTAAATTTTTACATTGCTGGCTAATTTTAAGTTCAAAAACATCCATCATTTTAAGCACTACAGAATAGCCCTCGTTAAATATGCTAGCAGCAATATATATACAGCTATTTTTATTATTTTAGTGCTACCATGTAATTGTTTGGGAGCTAGTCACCAGATCATTGTGTTTAGACTCTCATTAGCATTCTGTGTATGCCCTCCCAAACATCTCTCGGCCACTGAGAAACGTTAAAGTCTATTGTGCAAAAGGGATTAATGCTGCAATTCCAAGCAGAATCGTAAATCTCGTTCTCGTAAAAACTTATTCTCGTAAAATTCGTCAGAACTTATGAGTAGATTTACAAGTCTATGCAATATCATATGTCGTACAATCACTTGTAAATATCGTAAATTATATGAAATCGTAGATATTTATGAGTAATTTTATGATATATGATATTACTCGTAAACTCGTAAATCTACTCATAAGTTCTGACGAATTTTGCGAAAACAAGTTACGAGATTCTGCTTAGAACTGCATAAGTCGAGAAACGAGAGGGGTTCGGTCAAAACGTGCTGGGCGGCTTTTATACTTGCGCGCGGCGCAGGTATAAACGTGTTCATAGTGCCATTAATACTTTGAATTAATACTTTGAAATAAGCTCGAAAACTTTAGGATTATATTCTCCATAAAACAAGAATTCGATTTAAGTAAAAAAAATCAATTTTTTCGATAAGTTACATGGAGTTCTTCCCTTAAAAGTGAGTGCGCAAAGAGTTTGTTAACCAAGGAACCGGCTATTCATCTCTTCGTCAACAATGTCGGAGTGATATTGTGCCCATTCGAGAAGACGGAAGACGGTTTCGAGATGCAGCTGCAAACGAATCATCTCGGCCACTTCCTCCTGACGCTCTTGCTATTGCCGAAGATTATGTCCTCGGAACCTAGTTGTAAGATATTGAATGTGTCATTGAGACTTCATCTTCTTATTTAGGCTCAGTTGGTTGCGTGTATGCGCGAAGCTGCGATTATTAGTAATACGTCACGTTTGCAGTAAATCAACGGTCGCTAAACTCAGAGTAAAATATAGTAATGCCAACTATATGAGTGATAATGATGAGTTTTTTATACGTGGAATTATAATGTATATAACTATAAAACATTTTATTAAAATATATACATTGATTCTAGATATAAAACTCGTTTAATTGTCACTTATACAGGGTGTCCCATTTTAAATTACGCACCTGAATATCTCGTCAGGGGAGCCACCAATTCGTGAATTCACCTATTGTACTAAAAATTTTGTACAAACAAAATCTAATTTTGTATAATACGATATTTAGCTGTACATTCATGACGTTCAAGACTCTCACGAGTGAAAACATTCTTGAACTTTCTCACTTTTGACTACTGGAGGGCCGATATGCGACAAACGCTCGTTTTACGAGCGAAAATATTAATATATTAATATATATTTTGTTTATTTAACATTTTACATGCTTTCGGCACGGAATGCAATGTTTGCGAACATCGAATAGCGAATGACGACCGAGTTGTAAAGCAACTGTGGGACCAAAGTCATCTTCTGCATTTAGAACCCGAGGGAGATCTTCATACGTTTTTGCAAACTGTATCGCGGTAAATAGCATATCCGAATCATTATTGAAACCATAATATGAACAAATATATTTATATATTGAATAAAAAAGCTTGTTACAAACAAATCAACTAATATGATCTGCAATTTTTCGACGATTTATTATAACTTTCGTGTTTAATAAATCAGAGTCCTCATTTCTATTGCCACGATAAAAATAAAGAACTCTGATTGGTTAATTTTTTTTATACGTTATATGCATTATGTTTTTATGCATAAATGTGTGCTTCTCGTTTTATTGGTCTAGATAGTTTTATGCTATGCATATGCGCTTATCCGCTTATATGCAAATTCGTCTGATTATACCTTTAAGAGTTATATTATGCGTCTCTAAGAAAAATAACACAACTTCGGACAGAATATCATATTTATAGTTATTATATTGATATGAACACAGAATATATATTTGATAAATGTTATTTAGAGATCGATGGAATAAACGTATACAGTTAATATTATGTATGCAGTTACGTATGCAATTTAAATTTTGGCAGAACTAAGAACGGGATTGGATCGATACTTTGATTTTTTTTAAGTGCGACGTTTTTCTACCGGCATATAATGTGATTTTCATTCTCATGTTATAAAAATAAGAAACCTATGATCCTGGATGCACTGTCATCATGTTATAATTTTATTTGGTTTAGTTATTTACCGGGTTATTTGGGGTTAACATCAAAATTTGTCGGTTGGCACCGAAACATTTGGAGGTCTAATCCGAAAGATTGAATGTTAACACTTAAAATTGGGAATGAGTATTAAAGTTTGGGGGTTGACACCAAATCATTTGGGATCTACCCTGAAAATTTGAGGATCTACTCCAAAATTTTCAGGGTTAACATCCAACTTTTATGGTCAACCTTCAAATTTGATGGTCAACCCATAAATTTGAGAGTTAACCTTCAAAATTTTTGGGTTTTTTCGTAAGGGTACTGCATAAGTCTTATAAATAAATTACAATAAAAGACATAGAATATAGGTCTGTTCCATACGACATGTACAGGGTGTTGCACTTACATACAGGTCAGTACGACGGGTTGCCTCGTTGGCAGACGCGTTTTCTTTCCTATGAAGTTTACTGCGCTCAATTGCGCGCGTGACAATTTCGCAAAGGTCTACTATGACATGGTACGCGCGCCTGCCGACGAGGCAACCCGTCGTACTGACCTGTATGTAAGTGCAACACCCTGTATAAGCGAAGTATGTCTTGTGGGCAAAACTGCAATTATAATTGGAGCAAATAGTGGTATCGGCAAAGAGACCGCCAGAGATTTTTACGTGAAAGGCAAGCTGATATTCAACACATTGAAAGAAAATAAGGATATAGTCTGACGATTAATTTGAAGATTTTAACAAAAAGTAAAGAACTTTCAGAATTTTCAGGAATTTCATAGTGTGTTTCAGAATAAGAAACATACATTCTTTTGTAAGTGTTCGATCCTAATAAGAAGAAAACGATGTTAAATTTGACTATATATCGATTCCATTAATACTAGCTGACAGTAATATTACATGAATGTTTCACAATTTCTCATTCAGTGATATAACTATTGCATACAACACATGTGATATTGCACAAATATTAAGTTGGAAACTATATTAATGTAATATTATTTCTTGCTTTTTATTAAGAAACAATAATGTTTAGAATAAACTCGGGTATTATGGCCATATTGGGAAAGATGGCTATAGGCTGTAATTTCTTTAATAATTGTAAAATATTGCGTTTGTATAATCAGTCACAAAGATAATCGATATTTATCATAGTATATGTGCGTATATTTGAAAAAAATGACAAGGTTATGAATATTATACTACAATAAAAAAAATAATCTTGCAGTCATAGCGAAAATTATCTAGATATGAAAAATTAGCTAAAATGGATAAATGACAAATAAGCACTGCGATATCGTATATGTTTTGTATCTAACCAGTATAGATGGCAGAGACAGAATTTATATCGGAACCATTTGTCAAATTTAGCAATAAGTTTCTCTGTAGCGCTCAATCAGATTATACCAGTCACACTTCTTCTAAAAATGACTGTGATAGACAGAAAATACTAGCAATGAGAGATACAAACGAATATACAATCCTTACACCCAATACTGTTTATGTAACCTTACCGACAGAACACTAACATTTTTCTGCAAAGTTTATGTCGTATTAGTTACACAGAATTATAAATGCTTTTACGCAATGAAAGTACGTGCAAAAATAATTAGAAACATTATTCAATATGTGACGAAAACGAACAAAAAATTTTTAATGTAAAATCTCAAGCTGCACTGATAGAAAAATGTATGATATTTGGAACTATAATGGCATAGTAAAAAGATTATAGTTAGGAATATCTTTTTTATAGTAAATGTCACCATAATGTTTATAATATTTACAATATAAACATAGTATAACTGCCTAAAACTTTTACCAAAAATTCTAATTATTTGAAATAAAAAATATAGTAAGGCAGCAAATATTAAATGGTAAGAGAAATTAACTATTTTATATAGTCAATACAATTGGAATATTTAGAAAATATGGGTACTTGTAACTATATTCCCAAAGCGTGCTTTACTATACACATAGAGTAATAAGATGGTGACTATAAATGTGTGTTCATTCTGCTATATCTTCGTGTTTAGATAAACTATAAATATATGTTTGAGGCCAAAACGAATAAAATATAGTGAGATTATAGTTATTCCAACTATTTTTTTCTCTCAGTGTGTCAGTAATATCTGCCTAATTCAAAAGTTCCGTAGCTTGTACATATCGAAAGTGTGAATGCTCCAAACAGAAAAATTTTGAAGAACATTGCTCTGCCTTCGCATTTGCATTTGGAAGCTTAAGAATATCAAAAAAATTTGCAAAAAGATTTCTACACATATATGGTTAGGTTTTCCGTTGAATATGGTAAAACAAAGCAACACACATTCATGTAAGTTCTGTATATATAAGAAATGCGAAAAGGATAGCGTGATTATGTTAGTGACGATCGTCTCTGCATTATCGACATTGTTTGAGTTCTTCATCGACTCCAGCATCCCTTTAAGGGGATTTTATGTCGACACAGGTAGAAAGAAGTAATCTTTGCAAAAGGATTCGGTGTCATGACAGTAGCTGTTCCTTGTTGTTTCCGTCTCATATTGGGCAATACTCCGCTTCATTTTCGCAAGTACTTTCATCATGCAAAAGAGTTTTTAATTCGACGCAGGTAAAAAGAAGTAACCCTTGCAGATAGATTCGGTGTCATGATAGTAGCTGTTCCTTATGGTGATAAGAATAGTATCGTTTTCGTCTCATATTGGGTAATGTTCCACTTCATTTTCGCACGTACTTTCACCATGCAAAAGGGTTTTTAATTCGGCGCAAGTAAAAAGAAGTATTCTTTAAAGAAGAATTCAGTATCATGATAGTAGCTTCCTTATGGTTTTCGTTTCATATTGAGGAATGCACCGCTTCATTTTCGCACGCATTTTTACCATGCAAAAGGTTTTTTTATTTGGTACAATCAGCACCATAAAAGTTTTGCAAGGGGAGTCGATATCACGTCAAGGATATTTTACAAATATTACTTTATATTGACTTGACCGAATTAGAAACGTATTTATATGGTAAAAGTACATGCGAAAATAAAATATAGCATTCCTCACTCAGAGATGAAAATGATGTTGAATTATTGCCATCGTGACACTGATTTCCTTTTGCAAAAATTACAGCGCATTTATATAGTGCTCCAATTTATATAGTAAAATTATATGCGAAAATATAGTGAAACATTGCTCAGTGTGTAACGAATATAATATCTCAAATTTTCATTTAAAATAATACAGAAAGCTCACATATTAGATAACATTTTTTTCAAAACAATATTCGTAAATTATATGAGGTGTGGCTATTAAATAACGAGACTGACGTTGTAAAAC